GGAGGGAAGGTTTAAGTTGGACATCAGGAGGCGCTACTTCACGGTCAGGGCGGCTAGGGTCTGGAACCAGCTTCCAAGTGAGGTGGTGCAGGCTCCCACCCTGGGGGTTTTTAAGAGGAGGTTGGATGACCACCTTACTGGGGTCGTTTGACCCCAGTACTCTTTCCTGCCATGGCAGGGGGTCGGACTAGATGATCTGCTCAGGTCCCTTCTGACCCTAGAAACTATGAAACTATGAAACTATTTGTACCCCAGGAGAATCTAAAAGCACTTAACACAAATCAATTCAGCCTTACAACAAGGCTTTAGGTACATGAAGTTTGTTCTTTTCCTTTATTAAAGGAGGAGACTGAGGCTCAGGGAAAAGGACGAGGGCAGGCAGGAAGTTCCCAGGAAGAGGGGATTAATAAAGGTGGGAAATCCCAGCTCCAAGCCCCATGTTCAAACATCAGGATCACACTATAATGGAAGTGAGGTTGGAAGTGGGGAGGTAAATGGAAAAGGCCAGGTCCAAAGTTAAAAAACACTTGTTGAGAAGACTCCACAATAGTGGGAAAAGTTTTGAAAACTGTCTTTTAAGAAAGTTACATCTTCAAGATCCAAAACTCTGAGAAGAGAAACCTGAAATAAAAGATTCAAGCTAGGTCATTTTGTTGACAACAAAAATGGTGTCACTCACCTCGGCAGAGAAATGAGGAAGTTTGCCTCAGCATGCGTCTCAGGACCTGAAGGAGGAAATAGCCATTTAAAAATGTCATCGCACCAGTAATAATTACCTATTCCACTTATGTAATCTCACCCAACTTGTGCAGCACAGCTTTAAATATAGCTTTCAACATCTCAGTCACAATAATAAAATGGAGAACAGTGTTCAAAGTTCTACCTGTTGTGGGAGAAGTAAATGTGCTAGGGTTTGTCTTTAGCATTAAACCTCCTGGAATATTTATATTGCCTTTGAGGGTATATGCAGTGTCAAGAGACAAAGGGCAAGATCAGCTCAGGCAGAAAAAGATGCATTCTTCTGTTCAAGAGGCCAAATAAACCCACTGTGGTATTCTCGTGTAGACAAAAAAGGCAAGTTATTAAAATAGGAGTGCCCAAAGGCAAACCAAGTGCCCTCGACTCTACCCTGCTTATGATAGCCGACTCCACAAAGTGGAGGAAGGACAGGTGTAGCTGTCAACATACTATGAGATCCAAGCACTGGAATTCAGGCCCAGGGCAGGGCATTGAGCCCTATCTCTGTGCAGAACTCCCCCAACTCTATCGGGGCACTTGTAATATCCCTTTCTAAGGGCTATTACAAGTGCCCCGAGTTGCTCTATACATAGTGGAGAGCGACTACCACTGAGAAGTAGCAACTGGAAAAAGCAACATTACCTGCTCCACTGCTGCTGCATGTGAGCTGGGCTGGACTCCCTCTTTTCTTTAGACTAAAGGGGAACAGGCCTTCTTAACACAATCCCAATTCCTCTGAAGACCCAGTAAAAAGGCTGGCAACCTGGCCACTGCCTGCCTCAATATTTCACAAGGAGACAGTGTAAGCCAACTGCCCTCAAGGACTTTGGGAAAGCAATGGGCTATGTCACTCCCCTGGCTAACAACCACAAGCAAGACATGGAGGAGTTGGACCCTACAAGAGAAATAGCACTAAGCTGGTGACTGTACACTACTCCTTTTAAGAGAAAAGGGAAGTGCAGTACAGCTGGGTCACACACGCAAGGTCACATGACTTTAAAATAACTGAACTTTGGAGCAAATCCAAATCAGAGCAGAATCCAACCCAGAGACCTACTAATCCAGTGCTGACCCTGTTGGTCTCTGTGCCCTTGGGCAAGATACTTGGGGCAAGATTGTTGTCTTGGTGCCTCAGGACACAGACAGGCACTTTGTGCGATTGTCCAGTAAGTTAGAGGCCTAAAAGCTATTTGAATCTTAAGTACTCAGATACCTTAGGAATTTGGCTCTTAACTACAGTGAGTGTCTCTTAACCCTGGTGAGTATCAGTTGCCCCAGCTCTAAATTGGAGATGATACTTACTTACTTCACAGGGATTGAGGGATAATTAGCAACATTAAAACACCTTCAGGTGTTAACTAAGTGCCACAAGGTCAGTGGCCCTTGGTCCCCATAGCTTTCTTGCCAGCCATTATTTCCCAGAAAATGCCCTGACCCTGAGCAATTTGTTGACTACCCACAAATTAACGTAGGCAGGGTAGAGTGTCCCATTTCCACAAATCAAATGCTGCCCTGTGTCCTTTTATCTAATACATTTTCTGGAATGATGCTGCATACATGCTTTTTCCTTATGAAGAGTGTAGTATCAGCCCTCCAGCTCTATAAGCTGACCACATTGTTTAACACAAATGCCACTGCTGGAGAACAGGTTTGGGAAAAGAATAGATCCCCCAGTCAAGAATAGAGCTTGATGTCACACAAATGAACTGTAAGGAACTGAAACTTTATGGACGTTTCCTCTACAGAACTCCCCTGTCATAGGGGAATTCCTTTTTTGCACTTTGGTAACTGCCTATGAGGAATCAATCCTAAAAGACTGTGCATTGGTCAGCATGTTTCTCTGATTATTTCTGTCATCCTTTTGCATTTCTCATCATTGTCCAAGATGTATGCTTTTCCTTTCCAGCTATATGCAAGTTTTTTGATTGAGAGAATTTCACTGAGTTCAAGGAACGGAAATAAAAGGAAAAATGAAGGTAGCTTATTCACATTTGCCCTGTGAGCAAGTGTGAACCTGCAATCCACCAGCCTGTTTGATGGTGGTGTAAGACCCACTTCTCAATATTAAATGCTGAGTTATTTTCCTTGGTGTATGAGAGCAGGAAGTGAACAAGCAAAAATTCCATTCCAAGGGACAGGAAATACCAAAGACAGTTCCTAAAAGCAATTTGGAGACTGAATACAGTCATTAAATTCTTATGATGGAAGTAGCCAGAGATCAATACACCCAGAGAAATATTGCAGCTGTGATGGCCTCCATCCCTTTCAGACAGGTATTCTGTCAGCTTGACGGCTAAGAAAATTCTTAGGGTAAGAAACAAGAAAGGACTTGGGTTGCTGCACCTCACCTGCAGAACCCAGAGCCTATATGCCACATGAGGAAGGGGTAAGTGTCTCAGAATAGGATGCAAAAGGCTCAAGTGCTGAGCAAAGCACAACCCAGAGTGAGTCAATAGGAAACGCTGAGCACAGAGGTGTGTCTGCACGCCTGCCCTTTCCAGAGCTAAGGCACCTGACTCAAAGCAACAGACAGGATTCATAACCCAGAATCCTCTCCTGAGGGTGGGGACCAAACCACTGATTCTTGCAAAGAACTTGCAAGACTCACTGAGCGCATCTACACAAGTAACTAACTGCGTAGTAGCCTAATAACACTGTGCTGGGCAAAACCATGCTGGGCAAAACCTGCGCTAATATGCTACTGCACAGTAGGATTAGGCTACTGCACTGTAAACATAATTAAAAACCCATGCACTGGTGCTACTGCTCAATAGTCTGAGTTACCGTGCGTTGATTTAGTATTTGGTTATCCAAGTACTAAACCTAATGCGCTATAACTACAGCTGATTAATGAACGTGTAGATGCACCCACTGTATTCTTTTAAAATATGATTGGCAGTGATGGTGCCAAGACCCACCCTTTTATGTTGTAGCCTAGTTGCTAGAGCACCTGCTCAGGAAGTGGTAGACCTTGGTTTAATTCCCTCCTCAGCCTGAGGGGTTTCAGATCCACATCTCCCACTTCCCAGAGACTGTGCTAAATACCAGGCCATAGACTAAGCTAGGAGATACTACCCTGCTCCCCACCAGTGCAGCTGTGCTACAGTACAGCAAAGAAAGCAAGATCCATGAGGTCAGGAAGATAGCATAAGAGAGAACTTGATTCTGTGACCCAAGGGGGTAAGACACTCAGCTGGAAGGAGGAACAACTCAATTTCGATTCCTTCTCAGGCACTGTTTCCTATTTTATCCAATGGGTGCATCTACACATGCACTTTACTGCAGAACAGACTAATTAAAAAGCATCACCATCTATCATGCACAGGTATTAGGGTGCAGTAAACTAATCAACTCCACCATAAGATAGTACTGTTGGGGACAATAATCTGTGACAAGGTAAGCTTCCAGGCTTGGTGCTAGCACCAGTCCGCCTCCTGTCTATGGGCATAATGCCTGCCTAGCTTTCCTGCCATGCCTTGTTGGTAAATAATAAACATGTTACTTAGACAGGAGGCTGTCCATTTTGAACCCTTGATGTCTAGGGGTGATATCCACAGCTCTGAACCTTTCCTACACTGCAGCCCGTGCCTTGCAGATAGCATCCATGATTATAAATGCTCCAGCCAGAAGCCGGGCCAAACTCTGTCCCATGTTGATCCTCTTCCACTCACTCAATCATAGTCCCCACCTCACTGGGCCTCATTCACTCTGCCCTGCTCCCCAGGAGCAGCCTTCAGGCTTACTCACACTCGTTTTAGGCAATCAACCCCACAGCCCTCTGGGTACCTCTTATAACCCAGCTTGCAAGTGATGGTCCATGCCTAACCTTAGGCCTAATCTAGCCACCAGCCATTTCCCAGCCACTCAGCTCTTTCTGCCCCCCTCTTGGGACCACTCTCCACCCCCTCCTTGGGGATCACCTTTATGCCCCTCCAGGGCCCTATGCTGCCCCTTCGTGGGCATGGATTCTTACACCCCCAGCGGCTCAGGTGCCTTTCCTTCAGCATGTCTGGCCCCATAGTTTGTATATTCTCCACTATGTAGTGGGGGCTGAGGTTTTAAGGCACCCCTACCCACCTTCCACCAGAAAGGTAACTTGCCTGATATTTCCTGGGGGCTCCCATGCCACTCAGAGCCCCACCAGGCCACCCTTCTCCAGCAGGGTGCAGTTTCAAGTCATACCCAGGACCAGGAGCCTCAAAACCATCCCCTGTAGCTCCTACCCTTACCTCCAAGGTGTTCCAGGAGCAGCTCAACCCGATGTTACCTACTTGGCTGCTCAACCTGGACTGCTGCCTTTCTGGCCTAAGTTTGAAAATGGCCACCGCAATCAGCCACCTGGCCGTCTTGCTCTAGCCCTTAAAGTGACAGGCATCAAAGGTGCTCTGTCACATACTCTTCTATGGTGGAATAATTTACTGCACTGACATGCACATATAGCTGCTGACCATGAGCACGATTTAGCCGGGTCAGCCTAGGCAGCAGGGGGCCAGACTCCTGCCTGCTACCTAGCCATACAGCTCTGCACTTGCAGTACCCTTGTGTCCCAGCCAGCCCTTCTGCCACCCAACGCTGCCACCTGGAGCCCGGAGCTGACCCCCTGTGCCCCCTGCCAGCCCAGACTTACTCCGCCTTGGCTGAAATTGCTGCTGCCCCAGGCTCACATGTAGATGCTGTACCCAGGAAGCAATTTACTCTGGCTTGAACTGCTCCAGAGTTTATTGCTTCACATTAATTGCATGTGTAGATGCACTCAATGACTGTGTAATGCAGAATACAGGAACGGTGCTGGGAGCAGAGCCCAGAACCCAGGATTCCTCTTTTCCAGATGACTGGTCTCATCACTCAGCTACAGAATCAGGACCCTCTTGCTAGTGAATTTTAACATTGATTTAAATTGGGCAGGATTGCATTCTAAATAAACATGTTGTTTTAATTAAGCAGCTGATTATATATTCAATAGAGGAAATTCAACCCAGTCTCCCCAGGCAGACATAGTTTGTCTCTAATTTGCCTTTTTAACAGTGACTCCAAAGGCAACATTTCAAATGACACAAAAGATGCCAGAAGTATATGGCAGTACGTTAAATTAGAGCAGTTCATTTCTGTTGTGCCGAGTTAGATTGTAAG